TATTGAAACAACTTGTATCAAAATGACTTTGTATTTAACGATCAGTTGATGATGGGGTAGCATGTAGAAAGGACTGAACATGAAATTGACACTGATAGTGCCATTGTCACTGCTGTCATGCTGTTCTTAATCTGCCAAATGAAAGTGATATGTGACTATATAATACATGTATGCAGACCCACTGAGGTTGCTAGCAGGCACGCTGCTAAGCCTCTAAACTACTGTATATTATACCTTCCTCTTTTCTAAAAACTTTAAGGAGACTGGCAAGTTGTCTACCTGCCACTAAACTATGTAAATTTTACGTTCTTTTTTAAAACCTTTAAGTTCAGTGGTGAGTTGCCAACCCATCAAATCACTCAACTCCACAAGTCATTTGCCAATTCAGTGTTTTCATTAAGAATTCTTGTAGCAGGAGAAAGGTATAACGTTGCAGGAGAATATTCTGAAAGAGGCTCCATGTCAGAGTAAAAAATCTTCATAGGCTATCGAACGTTAGCCGGAGAATTTTGCACAATAAATGGAGAATTCTCCAATCGCTGATGCCTAATGAAAACTGGGCAATGTTCTATTCACTGATGTTTGAAGCTGAGCTATTGCTATTTACTAAAACTTCAAGGTCAAGTCTTTCAAACTTTTACTGTCAAACTGAGAAAGTCATGAACACTTGAAATTATTTTCTGATTAATTATGACCAATGGCAACAAAGATCTCAGCATAGGATCAAGCAACAAAACTACTAACTAACTAATTCCCTACTGACCGTCACACCTGACTGGCTTTTTACTTGTAGCACATGTAAAAAGAAAACTTCTTGCTTGGTGGCCGCTAATGAAAAATTTTTGCGCTAATTAAATACCCTCTCTTTTTAGATGGCTCTGATTCAATTCTCATTCTTACCAACATCTTCATGTAAGCCAAGCCCACAAGAACTTCTTTTAGCAAGTAAGTTAAATCCAAAGATCATCATTGAGAAGTCAAATGATTATTAATTGTAAGCCCTAGGATTTTACAGTAATGATTGTTTCTGGTACTGTGTCGTTACTGTCATCTTAAAGTAACAGAACCGAAAAATAGTTTCCCAGTGACATGTCCTGATATATTCAGACTGAGGAATCAAAATACACAAAAAATTAATATAGTATTTTTCCGCTTGGATTCTTAACTAGTACAGCAATTCTTTATGACCCAGCTTGTGTATAAACGAAATTTAAAAAAAACGTTACCATTTCTGTAGATCTGTAGCGAACATTTCAAGTGAGTATACTTACTCCTTCAGTTGGATAAGAGGAGTCTTAAGTTTTTGACCCGTAAGTGTACACACATTTAACACTTAAATTGGCCTTCTTCTAACATTTTAATAATAGACATTGAAGTTTTTTTGTAAATAATAGTACACACTGATGTTCTTTAATTTTAAATTATGTTTAATTTAACAACATGTTTCCAGAAAACTGTTTCTGTACATTAAAAGAAATAAAAGTGGGTTGCCATGAATTTTCACAGAACCAAAAAACTGTTACCGATAGTTTCCCATGATCTCTGGGCACGGAATAGAAAAAGTGTTATCCATGGAATTTGAAATCCTAGGGCTTGTAATTGACCAAACTAACTAGGCAGGATGACGCAGTCAGCCAGCGTCATAAATTCAGGAGTGCATTCCTTTCAAATTTTTCTTGGGAGTCAAAAATTGCCTTGTTTTTTAACTTTCCCATATCCCATGCCAGTTACAAAAAATTGTGTGATTGTTATTGGCTGCAACTTCGAATCACATGCGAGTCAGGTTGGATTGCACAAGCAGAAAAAAGATACTGCATCAGCAAAGGAGGCAAAAGTAAGGTTACTGCATAGAGGAGGACAAAGCCAAGTGTTACTCTGTCAGCTGTGTTACCCTTTGTTACCCCTTGTTACCCTGTATTATACACTTAATGTCAGATCCCGAGGGAAACAGTTAGTTTTGTTTTCCCAAGAGTCCTGATGTTTCCCGAGACGAAGTCGAGGGAAACATCAGGACTCAAGGGAAAACAAAACTAACTGGTTTCCCGAGGGACCTGACATTAAGTGTTTTGTTATATTTCTAGCCTTTCACTTCAACACCAACAAAAGAATGACCGGAGGGAACCAAAACAGTCGACTCGGTACTTATAACAACACAAATTAAATTCTCAAAAGCACTGAATGACTGATTTACAAACAAAAGTACTTTCCTCATATTATCTGCATCTTTTTCCTCCACTAGCTGCTGTTTTTCTTCTGGGAACTTCTGGGATAACTTTAAAAATCGTTGCTTTTTAGCTTGAGGCTTCGTTTTTGTATTTTTTGAAAAAGCAAATTAGATATACTGTATATTTACATTGAAAAGAGTTACTTAGTAGCTACATGATTGTACTCATTTTTTGGTTCAAACCCTTGGTTTTTATACCAAAAAATTCAGTTAAGTTGCAGAAACATTCACTATATACATGTACACCAGCTGGAATCTTAAACCGTTTGTTCCCCTGTAGCCATACATTGTACAGTCTCCCTCACAGCTGTTTTTGGTGTTGTCATGCAATGCTCCTCCCCACAGGAGCACTGTGTGATGACAGTAAAAAGGTCTGTGAGGGACACTACACATTGTATGAATATCGTAATCCTTTCTTTTTCACAATGATGCATCAAGTTGTCTCAAATTTTAGTACTTGGTATCATTTTTATATTACAACTAATCATATGCTATACTTACTACAGAGCATTTGAAAATCATGATTGCTACCAATATTATTGATTAATTAAAATAATTTTTTTTACTTCCATAATAATAACTAAAAAGTGATAAATTAAATAATAATAACTGCAGCTGTATACGGGTATTAATCATAAATGTTGGTATTGACTAACCTTATTTTCTATCTGGGAGAACAGATCAAATACAGTGGATTCTTTGGTAGGTTGTGGTAAATCCAGTGCTATCAGTATTGCTATGAGTTGCTGGAGAGCAGGACTTACTGCCTGTCATAATTGTTGAATATAAAATTTAATACATGTAGTTATAAATTAATACACTGTTAACTATAAAATACTATAGTTCCAACCAATGAAACAAATAGAATCCTTAGCTTAGTCAGCAGGTTGTTTGAAGTGGGTACAGTGTAGAAGGCAAACTTTAAGAGTCTTACTTAATCAGATTCAACAGGAAATACATAGCCTCCAAGCAAAAAGACATCTGCATGGGAGTTTGGGGGAAATTAGAATGGCTTTTGTTAAATAAAATTCAGGTTTGAAATAATTTTCTAAGATTGAAAACATCAGGATTTCACTCCACTGTGAAAATTATCTTGTTATCAAGTATTGAGTAATGACTCAGAAGGTACTCACTTGATCTTCTATTTCCATTAATACATCTTCTTCTCCCCCAATCATTCGTAATGCCTGAAGCTCTGATGTCAAGTAGTCTGATTAATAATTACAAGGAAAAATATTTCACATAAACATGCAAAAACTAATGAAGGAATGGAAATTAATACAAGTTCAAAAGGAGTTAATTACGTAAGTACTCCAAATTGCATGAATAAACACAGCTAAACAAAGACTTTGGCATGGATTGAATCCCTTTGCAAGTTCAAAGGCGGTCTTAATTGTTTGATATAAAGCATTTTGTAAACAAGGCAGATAAGACTGCCTTAATTGAACATGCAAACAGATTCAATCAGTGCTAAAGTGTTTGTCGAGCTGTGTTCATTCATGCATAAAACTCGCATAAATCATTGTGCCTAATATAATAAATGATGGAAGCGATTATATGTGATTAGATAAGCTCTTAAAAGGCGATATATGTGGTTTCCTTTCCAGTAAACACCATTGTTACAACCTATTCAGCTATGGAAATACATGTTCAAGTGGACGTAACAATGTACCTAATAGAAGAAGTCTGTTGGCTGGTGATGCAAGGCCATTTACCCCTAGCAGATGTGAATGAGGACAACCTGTGATGTAAAGAACAAAAATGGACATTAAATTTGCATTTGGTGACATGGGAGAAGTCATTCAGATTATGACTATTATTGTTGTTCCATACAAATTTAATGTTTACCTATATAACTAGAGAAGAATCTAAGATTATAATAATTGGCCATGATAGAAATAAATGACTGCTGGTTTTTCAGCCGTACTTACCCATTTCATTCAACAATCCACTTATTTCCATTCTGAAAGTTTCCTCATCTTCCTTTTCTGATATAAACATATTCAATGGAAATATTATGATAAATTTAATAATCTTACAAAATGAATATACCATTCCAAGCATTGATGAATTTCAAAGGAACTATTAAGTTTGGATAAGTGAGTCAGTCAGAAGGTATAATTCAGACACTTTAGCTTTGGGTATACACTTTGATTGTTTGGAAAAGGCTGCACTAGTACCTGTGAAACCATCTTAAACCGAGAAGAAAATGGAAAGATTGCATCAACAAGAGGCTTAGATACACCACAAATAAGACTGGAGGATTAGCACAGAATTAAGAGCCAATGTCTGTAATTTTCGAGAATCGGTTGACAGTCGTGAATTTTTGAATTTCTTCATATTTTGCTCAAATAATCTCTATAGCACACTAATTTCAAAAATCACGTTAAAACTTGTATCAGCTTTTTATTTTTTCAGGAATCAGGCAAAGTTTGAAAAACTCTAAATCGGCGCTCTTTCGAGTATGAAATTAGCGAAAATGGAGCATTTTCTTCGCGCTCGTACATAAAAACGGAATAATATCTCTAGATGAAATCAAGTCACAAAACAGACACATATTTTTACTTTATAATTCAGCAGTTAACTTTAAATAAACCGTTTAAATGTGACTGTACCGGCCCCAAGAAGAAACACGGTTTCAGCACTTTTCAAAAATGACAAATTTGACCTAACTTCACCATCGTAAAAACCCAGTTGGTACACGGAATTTCAATATGAAACAAGAACTGTATTGAAGCATATCCTTTGCTGTTGTTTGTGTTAAAATGTTTCTGGCGGCATTCCAAATGCGCACCGTCGAGAGACCAAAACCTGAAGGGTATTTTGACACCAGGAAAGCGCGTGCAACAAGCAAGTTTCAACGCTTGGAATATTAATCCTTCGCAAACCTAAGTTACTTCGACATTTAAATCCTAGTCAGAGTTGTAACGGTTTCAGATTATATTTCGGCGTTTCTGTTCGGTTTAACATGATTCCTTTCAACTGATTTTTGCGATAAACCATAATGAAGAGACGAATACGCAGTTCAAATCACAGTTGGTAGAGGGGAATATTGTCGAAATACTCGCTTGCTATAGTTTTAATCGTATTGAAACCTTAATATCAGAAAAGTTATTTACTTACCTGAATTTAAATGCTAGACGGGGTCACAGTACCGCTAACTAAATTCTGCATCACGGCAGAATCGAAGTTAAGTTTGTATATGTTTTCAATCTGTCAACACGAGGGAAGATGACATTCCGGAAGTGCGTGACGCGTAACGCGCCGGAAAAGAAATTCCTGGTATAAGTGTTTTACGGTGCAAGTCTTTGTTGTATGTTCGTATAGAATCGCGCACATATTCAAACTTGGTTTGTGGCGCCTGTGGCCCCAGTAATGCTGAATGTATTGCGATCATAGAAAAGATGTTGTGAGTCACTTGGTATGCTCCTGACTTGTTAGTCACGTGAGTATGTAGGGCAATAACCAAACATCGACCCGACCATGCTAATGATAAAAGTAAGGTTTTCTGCATTTACGTTAGGTGATCTTTGTTTGATCCACAAAATTGGCGCATGAAAATTTGAGTTTTTCCTCACCACCTCTAAATGTTTGGTTCCGGGTAGCGGTGCAACAAATCACGTGGTACCGTTCTAGATCAACCTACTGGCTGCTCATAGAGGGGTCCATAAAGGCACTTTGATTGATGACTCTGTATGGCCTGAACTGAAAATGATATACGCAGACGTTTTCTGAGCGACGAATGTGCAGCTTTTACACTCCTCTTTCGTTTCGAAAATAGACGAGCACGCGAGCGAAGCGAGCGCGCGAGAGAGAGCCCCTTCCTCTACTGGTCAATAAATCCCCCGCGGCTTTTATTTTCATACGCAAAATCGACGATCTCCAAAGAGAAAATAGATCGACGATCTCTAATGAAAAAGTAGAGGGTCTGTGAACAGGCTACGAAGGTGCTTGCTATTATTTTAGTGAACTTTACAAGAGGTCTCAGGTGATTATGCTAACGTCATGAAAAGTCTACTTTAGAGAAGGAGGAGGAGATGGGTGGGTTGGTTGGCATTGGGTTCTCCATTAGGATCAACCCTACACATACAACAATTCATGTCTTTATCACTACATTTAGAGCTAGCAGACTTTGTTTGATCCACAAAATTGGCGCAAATTGGCCGCTAAATGTTTGGTTCCGGGTGGCGGAGAACAAATCACGTTGTACCGTTTCAGAACAGCCCACTGGCCATGCTGGCTGCTCATTTAAAAAGGGTCCGTAAAGGCACATTAATTGATAACTCTGTGCGGCCTGAAGAAAATTATATACGCAGACGTTTTCTGAGCGACGGAGGTGCTGCCTTTACACTTCTTTTTCTTTTCGAAAATGGCCACGGACTTCTCGCCTCGCTCCTCGCCGCTAGGCAGTTGTTTTTGCCTGAGAGATACCACCACGAAGTAGTTTTAGCACACAAGTCACTGCAGGTGCAGACCTAGGAAAAGGGCATTCTCCATCTGAAATTTTAAATCGAAATGAAAGGCTGTTTTCAGCCTTTTATCTCTTTTCTCCGCAACGTATTTGGTTGATAGATAGTAAGTAAAATGGCTGAGGCACTTTAAAGCATTTTTTCATTTACGCGACGGACTTTGACGTTATGAAAAAGAACTTGTCAGTGAATTGGTTTATTTTCTAGCCTGCGAACAAGTGCCGGGGGGATGGTGGCGGATAGAGCCAAGTGACTAATTTTTTTTTTCAGGCGGGAGCTAACAGTACGTGCATTCTGGTCTACCCCATACTGTGTAGACCGGCCTTTAAGGGCCTCTCTTCGGGGGGCGAGGGATCAGTACAATTCGTCAACAGCAGGTTGAGGTCTCGCCAGAAGTTGCCCTTGCTGAAGAGGAGCAAAGCAATACTACTTTCAGTAATTTAAACATGTTAAATACTTGTATTTCGCTCATCAAATGTGTCCATTGTCCATTTTCGATTTGTGGTTTTTCAGGAATGTTCTTTTGCGGAGCATTGGCCAATTTTCTTTAAACAGTTTTACTCGTTTCCATTTCCCTGCTCTACCTTCATGTTGCATATGGCATACGTGTGTACCTAAATCCCTCAATTCATTAAAGAAGTCTATACGCAAAGCGGGGTAAAGATTAGTTTATTACAAGCAAAGGCACAGAAGGCTTAGTGCAAATAAAAGAAAACTAGTGTGAAAAGTTTTGCAGACTCGGCTTACTCTATTTGTTTTCTTTCTCTATTTGACTTTCGGCTGGTGACATCCTAAAATCAAGTTTAGTTCGACATGTTTTGGGAATATAAAATATAAAACTAAAAAAAAACAGTGTTAATTGTACACTCGTGCGATGATTTATCCTTGTCTGTACAGTTGCGTGACCAGACTCAAATTACACACGGGCTTTCATCACGCATCACATTCACAGCGTTTAGTCCGAGGTTAAACGAGGGAAGATTTCAGCAAACTGCGGCCACTTGCGGTTGAAACGACTGTGGTAAGTAATTCTTAGAGATGTCGAATCCCATTTAGAGCTAGCACACCGTTTCTAGCGGCTTTATTTTAGGTGCAGAAACTCGAGGTCAATATTTACAGTCCATGAGAACTTAACAGCGTTGTCTTTTTCAGCTACTTGCGTGCAATCAAATGCAGTGTTAATCTACTTAGTTCTTTTTTATGACTATCAAATTGAAAATCGTTCTTCAAAAGATTTTTAGAGCTTCCCGTAATGTGCCCCTTGTAAAACAAGCTAAATTAGCAAATACTTTTGTGTGCCTACACTCGCGGCTAGCTTGTTTTCAGCGTTCCAACGTGCGAAACTACGCTGCACGTTTCGGTGTCTCAGCGACGCACTTTTGTAATGCCGCCAAAAATTTTTTAACACAAGAAACGGCAAAGGATATGCTTTAAAATAGTGTTTGTTTCATGTTGAAATTCCATGTATCAGTTGTTTTTTTCGATGGTAAATTTAGGTCAAATTTGCCATTTTTGAAAAGAGCCGAAATCGTGTTTCTTCTTGCGGCCAACACAGTCACATTTAAACAGCTTGTCTAAAGATAATTGCAGAATTATAAAGTACAAGTCTGTGTTTTCCTTGTGACTTGATTTCATTTAGAGATATCATCCCGTTTTTATGTACGAGCGCGAAGAAAATGCTTAATTTTCGCTAATTTCATACTCGAAAGAGCGCCGATCTGGCATTTTTCAAACTTTGCCCGATTCAGGAAAAAATAAAAAGCCGTTACAAGTTTTAATGTGATTTTTGAAATAAGTGTACTATAGAGATTATGTGGGCAAAATATGAAGAAATTCAAAAATTCACGACTGTCAACCGATTCTCGAAAATTACAGACATTGGCTCTTAAGTCCTGTACAAAGCTGCAGTGAATGCGGTCTCATCCTGGGGAGGATACACGACCATATACATGTATTTGTGACCTGGATGGAATAAACTCACCCAAAATGTTAAGGAGTTACTGCCTTTGTCTATAAATGGAACGAACTGACCTCCTGGCCCTAGTTGCTTGAAAGGTGGATAGCACCATCCTTTGAATAAATCTCTTTCCAGTGGAAAACGCAACTGGTTTTTGTAACACTTATCCACTGGGTAGTGATTTACCTGGTGGATAGCGCTATCCAACTTTTCAACAACCAGGGCATGGCTATTATTTACCTGAGACACTTTCTTGTACACTGCAAAGATTCTTCAGGTTTTCTACCAGCCAGACACATAAGGTCATGAAATCTGATGAGAGTTTTTCACCTTGCACTGCAACAGCTAGTGCCCCTTCCCCCAAGAGGGGGCTATCAAATCTAAAAAAAAAAAAGTCAAACCCTTTTTCATCATTGTTGGGTCGTTTCTAATTCAAGAGAGGCAAACACGTTACGGACAGGCCCATTTCTTCTAGAATTCTTTCGAAATGAATGCTTTTGCAACAACAAATCTAAATTAACTTACCCAAGGTCTTCCAGTGCATCTTGGATGTCACTCTCCATTCTTAAAAGACACAAAAAACGCACAGATTTGTACAAAACGAGGATCTATCCGCAAAAAATAACCAGGCCATACCTTGAAGTAGTACCCAGGCCTTCCCAGGCAATCCTTAAACGCATGTGTATTTTAAGCAAACCGCTGAACTAGTTGACTGCATATTCCCGTGAGTTTGCAAAAAGCCCAACATGGCTTCGCAAACGGGGTTGAAAGAAGTAGTTTCTCTTTATCAAACGTTGATAAAGGAGTGGAATAGAAAACCTGTTGACCTTGAAAAAGTTGGAAAGCTTCTTTCTGGAATGAAAGTAAGTTGCAATGTTTCTTTTTCATCTGATACATTACTACTATTGTTTCTCTGATCTTAGAATGATTTCTTTAGCCCTCGCCTTTGACTCTTATGCACAGAATTTTGTCGCGAGAACTTATTTTGACATCATTCATTACCACGGAAGTTTCATAAATTTATGTAGTGTAGTAGGTGCTTGAATATTGTAATTCTCTTTTTACAGAATTATATTGAACAGACAATGTTGTGGATTGTTTTGTTTTTCTTATTTACGAGGAAAACAACAATCGTAAATAAGCAACTACTTTTTCAATGTGAAAGGCAGCAAGTTCAAACTTGCTTTTTTAAGGTGGTCTAATTGAAGAACAATAGTTTGATTTAGCAACAGAATGTTGCTAAATGAATGAGTGAGGTTACTGATCGTTTTGATTCAAAGTCGTTTTCAGGCAGCAAGTTCACATTTCCTTGAAATTGGGAAACTTGTATTTTTAAGGTGGTGCAATTGAAGAACAATAGGGTGATTTAGCAACAGAGTGTTGCTACACATAAATTAATAAGTGAATGAGGTTACTGGTTGCTTTGTTACAAAGTTGTTTTGATACAAGGCGTTTCAGTACAAGGTTATTCAGTCGAGGTGTAAATAGTTTTATGCACTTGACTTAAAGGACGAAGAATATTCACCCAAAACGTCTTTTTCTTGTTCACATGAAAACTAGAATGTGACATCTCATACAAAAACGTTCCTTACAATTTGCCATTTTTAAAACGGATAGCCGTCTGTATGCAGCTTATCAGCTGTTCAAACGGACTGGGTATCTGTTCGAATGGCTCAAGCTATCTGTTAAAAAAAAAATGGTCAGCCATTCGAATGGTTCGGGCTGTCCATGCAAAAAAAATTGTCATCCATTTGAGTGGCTCGGGCCGGATCTGTTGGAAAAAAAAATTGTCAGCTGTTTGAGTGGCTCGAGCTATCCGTGCAAAACAAAATTGTTCTCTGTTGGAACAGCTCAGGCTATCTGTTTGAAAAAAACTGTCAGCCGTTCAAACAGTTCGGGCTATCCGTTCGAAAAAAATTGGCAACCGTTCAAAAGCTAGATAAAGAAAAGTTTAGCTGGGTTTCCATCCCAGAACAATTTCCTCACCAGCCACTTGTGCCAAATGATCTGTTATTCTCCAGGTATTCTTGAGTGGTCCCATTATGAACTTTGTTTACAAACGTATCATGAATAGCCACAGCTCTTTTTCTACCCCTGCCTCATCTGTTTCGTCATCCATTCAGCCATTCCATTTCGAAGGGCTTGTTTACCCCTTTCTCATCTGTTTACTTGCCCTGCGTTCGTATACCGTGCATTGTTTGTAAGGAACATTTTTGAGTGAGAGGTCACATATTTGAAGTGAATGGAATTGTTGTGCAATAATTGCGCAATTCACTGCTTATATTGAAACAACTTGTATCAAAATGACTTTGTATTTAACGATCAGTTGATGATGGGGTAGCATGTAGAAAGGACTGAACATGACATTGACACTGATAGTGCCATTGTCACTGCCGTCATGCTGTTCTTAATCTGCCTAATGAAAGTGATATGTGACTATATATAATACATGTATGCAGACCCACTGAGGTTGCTAGCAGGCACGCTGCTAAGCCTCTAAACTACTGTATATTATACCTTCCTCTTTTCTAAAAACTTTAAGGAGACTGGCAAGTTGTCTACCTGCCACTAAACTATGTAAATTTTACATTCTTTTTTAAAACCTTTAAGTCCAGTGGTGAGTTGCCAACCCATCAAATCACTCAACTCCACAAGTCATTTTGCCAATTCAGGGTTTTCATTAAGAATTCTTGAAGCAGGAGAAAGGTATAACGTTGAAGGAGAATATTGTGAAAGAGGCTCCACGTCCGAGTAAAAAATAGTCATAGGCTATCAAACGTCAGCCGGAGAATTTTGCACAATAAATGGAGAATTCTCCAATCTCTGATGCCTAATGAAAACTGTGCAATGTCCTATTCACTCATGTTTGAAGCTGAGCTATTGCTATTTACTAAAACTTCAAGGTCAAGTCTTTCAAACTTTTACTGTCAAACTGAGAAAGTCATGAACACTTGAAATATTTTCTGATTAATTATGACCAATGGCAACAAAGATCTCAGCGTAGGATCAAGCAACAAAACTACTAACTAACTAATTCCCTACTGACCGTCACACCTGACTGGCTTTTTACTTGTAGCACATGTAAAAAGAAAACTTCTTGCTTGGTGGCCGCTAATGAAAGATTTTTGCGCTAATTAAATACCCTCTCTTTTTAGATGGCTCTGATTCAATTCTCATTCTTACCAACATCTTCATGTAAGCCAAGCCCACAAGAACTTCTTTTAGCAAGTAAGTTTAATCCAAAGATCATCATTGAGAAGTCAAATGATCATTAATTGCAAGCCCTAGGATTTTACAGTAAGGACCGTTTCTGGTACTGTGTCGTTACTGTCATCTTAAAGTAACAGAACCAAAAAATAGTTTCCCAGTGACATGTCCTGATATAGTCAGACTGAGGAATCAAAATACACAAATATAGTATTTTTCCACTTGGATTCTTAACTAGTACAGCAATTATTCTTTATGACTCAGCTTGTGTATAAACACTGAAATCTTTGTTCCCCTGTGTTACCCTTATTTACCCTGTGTAAGCCTCTGTTTCCCTTTTTTACCCTGTGTCACCCTGTGTTACCCTGTGTTACCCTGTGTTCCCTGTGTTACTCTTTGTTACCCCTTGTTACTCTGTGTTACCCTGTGTAACCCTATGTTACCCTTTGTTACCCTATGTTACCCTGTGTTACCTTTTGTTGCCCTCTGTTACCTTTTTTTACCCCTGGCTCCCCTGTGTTACCCTTTGTTACCCTGTGTTCACTGTGTTACCTTTTGTTACCCCTTGTTACCCCTTGTTACCCTGTGTTACTCTTTGTTACCCTGTGTTCCCCTGTGTTACCCTGTTTTACCCTGTGTTACCCTTTTTTACCCTGTGTTCCCCTTTGTTCCCCTGTGTTCCCCTGTGGTGACCTTAGTTACCCTGTGTTTTTCTCTGTTGCCCTTTTTTACCCTGTGTTACCCTGTGGTACCTTGTGTTACTCTTTGTTACCCTGTGTTATCCTTTGTTACCCTGTGTTATCCTTTGTTACCCTGTGTTCCCTGTGTTACCCTTTGTTATCCCTTGTTACCCTCTGTTGTTTTAGAGAACAATAAGGAACCGAGAACCTAGGGTTGTTTAGTTGCACTAACAAAAATAGTGTGCTTTTACGTGTCAAAAGAGGTGAAGGAAAATGCTAAATCACATCAGAGGTCAAATCCTGTTGGCCAGGAACAAAAGCTGCAGAAACCAATAAAAATGTATGCGTGAAACAGATCAACTTTATGACTTCTCCAGAAATTTTAAAAGAGACCCACCATTTCCTTAGCAAATAATGGCTTCAGCCATCACGAATGTCCTAATATATAAGGATAGTCCAGATTGGTCAAAGGATGTGATTTTTCATGAAAATAAAAAATCAAAACACAAAGTTCTGCTTGACTTGTTTAGAGAATAGTTTGTTTAATTTTTAATAATCAACTAACAGTTCACTGATTTATTAATTTGGGCAACCAACTTGGAGGCCTGGGTACCTCAGCTAAAATCTCCCCGAAAATTTTACTTGGGTGACCAGCTTTTAGGCCTGGGCACCCCAGCTAAAATGCTTGGGATTCCGAGGGCTCCCTGAAAATTTTCCTTAGAGCACAGCCTTGCGAGCTGTAGTTATTGGTCTGATACATTACATGATATTGTTGAACGCAGAAGTGCATTTATTGAGGATATTAGTGAAGCCAGAATGCAAATGTTAGCAAACTACCCCCTACTCTTAACATATATGGCGGTCATACAGATGTAAGTTTTGTTTTGAGGAGCAAAGGAACCCTTGTGTAACTCATCTTCTAGCGTATTTAACAGAACACCTCCGTCTCTCCTGCGCACATTTGTTGTTGATACTTTGCTCAACTTTCCGATGCCATTCAACGTAATTCTTACTTACACCAACACATCCCGTGTAAACGCCTTCACACGTCTTCTTGTTACCTTATATTTTTTGTTGTGACTGTCATTAAGTGAAATGAATTATATTCGAATTGTATACATGTACAGCTGTGTACTTGGAACAATAAAATGAAATCTCTAAAGCTCTTGCTTGATTTAAGGCCAAGACATTTTTGTACCATGATGTAGAGACTCACTTGAATTTTTATTGGATGTTTTAGGGGATGCATTAGAAATTGGTGTTCAGTGGAGTATCTCAAAAAAGGACATTCCGTCATTTGAGAGATACATGGCTCAGCTGATGGGTTGAAAGAAGTAGTTTCTCTTTATCAAACGTTGATAAAGGAGTGGAATAGAAAACCTGTTGACCTTGAAAAAGTTGGAAAGCTTCTTTCTGGAATGAAAGTAAGTTGCAATGTTTCTTTTTCATCTGATACATTACTACTATTGTTTCTCTGATCTTAGAATGATTTCTTTAGCCCTCGCCTTTGACTCTTATGCACAGAATTTTGTCGCGAGAACTTATTTTGACATCATTCATTACCACGGAAGTTTCATAAATTTATGTAGTGTAGTAGGTGCTTGAATATTGTAATTCTCTTTTTACAGAATTATATTGAACAGACAATGTTGTGGATTGTTTTGTTTTTCTTATTT